TCAGAACTAGGGATAATCAAAGTCGAATTATTTGTCTGAATCAAAATTGTCTTTAGATCCTTGTTATATGACGTAGAATGTCTCTCAGAGATAAGAAGTCTTGAATAAATATAAAATCTACATGAATAATCGTGGATTGATGTTCTCTGAGGAGATCAGCTAGAGTAATCAATTTTCACGACTTGAAACAGTAAAACTGCTAATTTGAGAACTTGCGTCAAAGCACATTTTGCTAATATTTGACACAAACTTTATAGTTAGTTTTCTATTTTGAGTAAATATTAAAGTTTTCCTCTGAGTTATGAACAAGTAGAAAAACAGAACTGAAGAGATGATTCTAGGATCGTACTGTTCGTCTATAATCCTAAACGGAGGTGAACTAATCCTTTTCTATCATAATGGCAGCATAAAATTGCAGCAAAAACCATTCGTATGGTTTTGTTTTTGATTAAAAATAGTTAGAATATGAATTTTCTAATATTTGATAAGTATTTCAAGAACCACTACGTCGTCTAGTATTTACACTATAAAAGCAAGGGTCGTTGGCTGAATCTATTTAAAATGAGAGGACAATTTTTGAAAATCATTCATGTTTTGTATGCAAAAATTATTCGTACGACATCGATGACGGTGACATTTTCGTTTTTCAAAAGTTGAAGAAACTCGATTATCAGGTCATTACATGCAGAAAAGAACAAATTAAACGTTTACTAATTATTTTTATGAGACTGGGTATCCTATTTTACTTTTTTAATTCTTACTGATGTCATTTCGTTCTTTGAAATCAATTGCGAAAATTATTTAATTTTGTCTATTATATTAGGTTATTTTGCTTGCCGTCTATGGTACGTTTATCTTAAGATGTTTTCTTTCATCTGACGTTTTATTGAGAACATTCTCAATCTAAATGTGGTCCTTGATACGTATTTCAACCTGTTAGCATTTTTAAGCATATGAGTTCTAACTAAGGAATATTCTGGAGATTTGCGCCTATTAATTATACAACATTATTTATCGAATAAGTCTTCGTCAAATCGCTGAGATTGTTCAAAATTCAAAATCTACGGTTCAATTAATTGTTAATAAATATTAAAATAGGAAGACAGTCAAGACAATACCAGGTCGTGGTAGAAAAAGTGAAACAATACACAACTCTCTCAAATTATTACCAACAAAATACGACAAAATCGTAGTGATTCTTCCAAAATTCTCCACAATGAACTTATTAATAAGTTAGGTACTTCTATTTCTGAAAGAACAATTCAATGTCGTCTCAATAAAGGTGTTGATCAAAGTAGGCTTGCACAAGAGAAGTCACTAGTAAAAAACAACAATCGATTGAAGCTACTAGAATATTCGCATATTTACCTAACAAAACCACATAAGTTTTGGGACTATATCATATGGACAGATGAGACAATATTCAATTCGTTTGGATCAGATGGAAAACAAATAGTATGACGTAAAGTTGATGAAAATCTTTCGCCTAAGTAGATTGTACCAAGGGTGCAGCAAGGTGGTGAAAATTTGAAGATGTATGAGCAGAAAGAGATGAAGTATTCAAGGATATTTTGTTGAAGCATTTGATTCCATCTGCCAAAAGTTTACGTACACCAAAAAGAAGATTATTTTAATGATGAATAATGATCCAAAACACAATTCGAAACGAACCAGCAAAAAATCTCAAGGAGCTGAAACAAACAGTTAACGAGATTGCGATTCAATTAGATCTAATGGTACAAAGAAGCTCGTTGACTCAGTAGGAAATCGATTACAAGAGTGCATCAAACGGATAAAGATTCAAGGTTTTTAAATAACTAACTCTTGTTATGCAATAGAATCACAGTACAAAGAGAATAGTAAGAAAATGCTTCTTATTCTAAATAGCCTCAACCAACCATCCTGTTTTTTTATAGTGTAAATACTAGAAGACGTGATGATTCTTTAAATATTTACCAAATCTTAGAAAGTTCGTATTTTGATTATCTTTAATCAAAAACAAAACTGTACGAATAATTTTTGCTGCAACTATATGTCATCAAATTTTGATGTTTTCGAATTCTGGGACGTTTTTGAACGTTGAAAAGTATTTATAGCGGATTAACAAAGTCAAATTCATTATTTTGCTCAAATCAGGTTTTACCTTTGTTGTGGATACGGGAGATATCCTCGAAATGAGACAAAATGATAATTGAAGTGCGGCAAGACTGGGGATCTTGAGGAGTGAATGATAGGAATTCGATACATTACTACTATCGGATGTCCTAGGAAAAATAGATCTCTCAGTATTTTAATAATATTTCTTTTAAAATTCTTTTGTTTAGACTCGATTTTTTTTCGATATATTCATCTTATAATTCTCTACCACATGATAGATTTTTCATTCATATAAATAATATCTGTCGTGTTTTGAGACATACTTCAAATGAATAGTGCACAATGAGCAATTTTTTAACAGACTTTTCGTCAGTTTTTTTGACTGTATGCTTCGTTCTTGGATGTATTGGTAGTAGTCTAATGTCTCTTGGTCAAAACAACTTTTTCTTTCCCAAAATCAAGGACCCTTAGTCATCGAATAGTTCAAATTGGGACAAATTTGCATATTCTCTCAATTAGATAAAAACTAACTTTACTATAGGGAAGCATACAGTAAAAGAAAACTGACTAAAATTCTGTTAGAAAATTGCTTATTTTGAACTATTCATTTGAAGCGAGTCTTGAAACATAATAGGTATTATTTATACTAAACAAAAATATACCATTTTGAAGAGAATTAACAGGTGAATCCATTGAAAAACAGCGAGTCTATACAAAGGAATATTAAAAGAAATATTATTAAAATACTAAGAGGTCCATTCTTCCTAGAACATCTGATAGAAGAATTACAATTTTCATTATCGAGGTACATTTGACTTGACCTCTTGATTAGGCGAACATATTGTTTGACTCTTGTCAATACTTTTATGAGGTGACGAAAGTTCAACAAACTGGTACAATCTCGTTTTCTGTAGAAAAATCCATTGTAGTCAATGCATATGATAATTTTTATTATATTCCGTTCGTCAATTTGATGGTAATTTCCTCAAATTCAACTTCAAAAATCGAGTGCAGGCCTGATCCTAAAACTCTGTAGAGAGTGGCAAGTCAAATTGGAGCTGTCTACATGTTACTACTGTAGTAGTGAAAATGTACACCACTGTTTTTATTTCACGCTACACGGTCGCTGAGAAAATTCTTTTTTGAAAATTCGAATGCAAGTATCATCGAATTTGCTCGTAGCTTCGAATTTTCTTCATGCAAACTAAGCTTCTGCCTAGTAAGATCATGATATTTCGAATCAACGCCAAAAGCAGAAAGACGGCAAGGAGTATCGACAAGTTGACTAGTTAATTCAGTTTCTGACCTTAACTCGAAATACATTGATCTTACTAGAGAGAAACTTGGCTTCTATGGAAGAACCGGGAAGTTACCAGCAAAATCGTTGATGTTCACCTCAAAATTTTGAAAAACGGATTTCTTCAGCAACCGTGCAACGTCGAACATACAACGTGATACATTCTTTATGAAAATTTCTAGTACGATAACAGAATTCTCGATCAACTCTTACAACGTTTAAAGCTGGGTTTGAAAAGACAGCCACACAAACTAAAGAAAAGAACAGTACAGAGAATTTCACATAAATTGTAAATAGTAGATATTTTTGAAGAAAACAAGATACTTCCAACGTTTGAATTTTTATGACGTGACCAGAGTACTTACAGAAGTCAAAAACCGTTTTGCCTAATCCAAAGATGAAGCCCAGTCAACCCAGGTTTTGAAAAACTGAAAAGAAAGATCTTGCACTTCTCGCTGCGAGAGCCTTACAACAATAGTATTGTGGAAACGATTTGTATAGATTTCATTGTGAGCGGAAGATATTAGATTCAACCATGGCTTTCGGACTCAGAACATTGCTTCCATATCTCTAGACTTTACGGACGGAAACCTATAGGAAACACGTCAGAATCATCGAACTGGGCTATGATAAACCAGAATTGGTATTGTGATTGCATCACAGATAACATGAAACAAAGATTGGAAAATAGACAGGAACTAATATGATCATAGAATGAGAAAGAAAGCTCTATAAGAATTCTCATATAATAGCTGTAGTGTGTATGCAAACAATACATATTTCTAGACACTTCGTTTTTCCTAAATTAGAAGTGGGTCTCGATGTAACAGATTCCTATCAGAGTAAGCAAGATGTTTCTACAGAGAAAAATATTTATAGAAACGAAGTGTCCTCTGAGGATAGAACGCTTCTACAGATGTATTGCCTAGACAATAAAGAAGTGGAAATAAATTAGTTTATGAATCGGTTATACAAAAGCGTCAAATATCATCAAACAAAGAATGCATTATTTAAAAAAAGATCTAATTAGGCGTTTCCATAAATCAATGTGACTTAAAATATTCTAAATAAAAGCAGTATTCTGTCCAGTAATTTTTATCTTTTCCATATTTTAGATGGTGAGCATTCTCTTGATCATATCTAGATATAATTGTTATTTCTTTTCTATTTAATATTTTGCCTGACGCATCGGAGACATATTGGAATTATTTTTTAGAAAATGGTCAATAATTAATTCGATGCTTATCAAAGTCCTTTTTTTCAGCACTAACAGTGTGCACTTCCTTATTTACAACTATACGACACTAGTTAAAGAAACAACACACTTTCTACAAGTCTTGCTGTATATGCGGATACAGATCAAATAGCGATGAGGATTACGATACGAAATAAGATTCTCCAATAAAATTTAAGACATATGAATGAATTCGAGTTCTGACCAGTCTTCAACCTAGTTTAAGCCTAATTGGATAATATAAGCGTTAAAAAGCTAGTTACCGTCGGATGAGTTGGTTTCAACACTATTAGGCGTTAGCATTTTAACGATATCCATATGATTGTGATCTAAACACGTGCAGAATACTTATAAATACTACTATAAACACAATCATGAACCTTTCAAAGTTAGTGACTCATCATCAGTGGTAACATTGAGATGCGACGTAATGTATCTTTGTATAAGCTCAGGCCTAAATATAGAAGTGTCAATAATTTCTGGTAAAAAATCTTGAGAAATATTGCATTGGCATCGTGGAACCGAAACACTTGCATGACCTTCTTCAATCCAGCTAGGTAAGGCAAAAGCGATTGATTCGCTCCAACTAGCATCTTCTGTGAAACTTTGTGCCAAAGCACCAGCTGATAAAACAACAAGTTCGCCTGGATGTTGAATAACTCGATGGTAACGAATATGGTTTTTGTCTAGTATCAAAGGATCGATAAGTAACTGTCCATGATCAAGACACATACTAGGTTTGTAGTGATCAATTATTTCTTGTAGAATTTCTCTTTCACGAGTCGGAACAATATACCAGTGATGAGCACCACCTTCATGATGATAGTCGATCGAGAAGAGACGCTGCCGAGCAGAAGTCATTGGAAATATAGCACCTGGTCCAAATGCTCTTTTCACACATGGAACGAATTGACGTGTCACTTTAGTACCACCAAGTTTAAGAAGTGATTGATATGGCAAACGGTGAATATCAAAATATAAACGAGATGTTTTCTCACTAAAGAAACTCTTATTAGGTACTAGCGAAGTGTTCACAAGTCGTTGTTCGTTGCTAGAACAAGATAATGAGGACCAAAAACTACATTCATCAGTCACCAACGACGCTTGTTTAGCATGGTTGTCAATATAATCAAACTTCTGTGCGAGGTAGACAGGTTCATTTTTATTTATTCTTACGATTGTTTCCGTACACGGGCATAACGCTATGTTTTTTCGCCGTTTCTTCAAAGCTAATTGACAGTCGATATTCGGTTGAATTTTAACTGCACCGAATTCTTTCAAAAGCTGTTCATGTTTGTAAATAAAACTGATCAAATTTTGCAGATCTTTTCCATTGATTTTTAACGTCGGAATATCCATTGAGATCAATGACATATTACACCAGAAATTTATAATCTAGTGAAAATCCATGAAATATAACAGTTTTTAATTCGTCAATATAGAACTTTAGTAATTCTCGACGTGCTCAAAAACCAATTGATTCAGTGCATCGGTTAACATTAATGTACTTTATACTCTTGGCGTTCAAACTGTTCGAAAGCTATCGGCTAATAGTAGTTAATTAGAAGTACTTGTTGTTTTTACAAATGTGAATTTTATCCCTTCTTTTTTCTTTTGTACACATATAGATATAGGATGGCGGAAAAATTAATTTGCCAAACAAAAAATTAAAAATCATTATCATAAATCAATTTAATAGGCTGACTATTTTATCGCTGATATAGGTATGTATATCGTTCATATTAATTAGAAAAGCATTGGAAATAAAACTTTGAAGTCTAGTCTTTAATTTCAATAAAGAATGCTATTCGTCGACGAGCAATAAATTATTTTGATAAACGAAAATAAAAGATGCATCTAATCTGTTTCCATCATTGCTGCATACTGTTTCTAATCGATTTCAAACTTATGTCACAGATCTATGTCATACCAACCTGTGTATTTTAAATATTTCAGCCTTAAACAAAAACCTAAGACCGACAAACTACGATGTTGTTTCGTATAGCTTGACTTCGTTTACCCTTCCTTATTACAGTTAACGTAAAAACTAAGTTCTTAGAAGCTGTTGTACGAAAAAAAACGGCCCACACAAGGACCAAGTGCCCAATTCATATCACGAATTTCAGTGAACTTCCGATGAAATGTATCCCTAAGTAAGACGTGAAAACGCCACGAATTTCAGCTTCTAAAATGGTTCTCCTGTTGAGATATTCATTTTACAATAGAGACATTCTCAGATAAAAAAATGAGAATAACCAATGCAACGCTCGCACATTTTTTATTTCACTATTATTCAACAATTTGTTGTCTCTAATCATGAAGCTTTATGAGTACATACTACGATAGATACTCTACGCAATGACTCGCTCAAGTTCACTTTTTAACGTTCGAAGTAATATAAAGATATTTACTACGTTCTAGAGTTACCTCTTACATTGTGCTAATCATGTCTATCCGTTATCAGCAACCTACGAGGTCCTAACTTACTTAAAAACTAAGCATTACTGTCTCCAGGTTTTATCAAGCAATTTTCAAAATATTGCCACTTTAATTTTCACCCAAACAAAAGCTTTTTCTTGGACATGAATGATCTATTCAGTATAATCCACATTCAACTCTTAGAGAAGTGATTTAATCAATGATCGCTGATTCAGCTAGTTTCTACGCGAGTCATTTGATAAAAATACTGCTGTTATCAAGCATTATTGCGAAAAAGAACACATTTTTGTGACATTCATATTTCATCAAGAATATATTCCTTTGGCTTGAAATTTAAAGTGATTATAAATTAGGTTCGCATGATTGTCAATAAATATATGAGGTAAGATAGATAAACTGTTGATAAGTTGATCAATATTACAAAGTATATGATGAGGATACGATTTTTTTTCGTACTGTGTACCTAAATTTCCTCAGAAAAAAAGGCCATGCCTAAGTAAAAGCTTGTTGGACCTACTACAAGGTCATACACTAATTAATTAACTACTTACACAAATACTTAATTTTTCCTAAACATTAATTAATAATTAGTCAACAACTAGAATTTTTCTTGTTTTTCCGCAAAATGGCTCCGTATTATACTATACACAGCATTTTTTTATACGAAAACATCATTTCTCCCATGAAAAATACCCGAAAGCATTAATTGAAATTATTAATTAACTAAAATTAGTTATTATCATTTTTTTTAATTTTTAGTTAGTGTTTGGTCAAAAGCTGATTTCAACAGAAGGTCACTCAAAAAGCAACGATATGCGGAAATGTTATATATAGGCATGCCCTTTTATTGTAGAGGAAGAAGAAGTTGAATATGCATGTGTAATGAGGAGAGGGTGTCAGAAATGGGACCTGCGCTGCTCTAGTCTTTAATGGAGACCAGATGGGGATAAGGAGAGCCACACAATCTTGAACTCAAAGCTTACACTCACTATTTATTTTTCGAAAAGACATGTGAGGCCCACAATAATCCAGAAAGAGTTCAATCGATTATATTTTCTTTCGAAAA